CGACGTGGCGATTGCAGGCCTCATCGGACCCCTCCAAGACTTCTGGCGGCGCCTCAGCGAGCAAAGGGCGGGACGGGGACGGAGCGCCGCTACAGAAGACACAGAGGGGAGCCGAAGGGGCCAAGGGCGGAGGCAAGGACCAGGCACCAGAGGCAGAGACGGACGCACCAGCACGCCGTCGACGCGGAGGCCAACGCCACCGGCGTGGACAGCACACCGAGAAGAAGTGGACCAGCAAGGACCCGAACCTGATGCAGATGATGACGATCATGGGCAAGTTGACATTACAGAACAGCCATCGAGCCAGACTTGCGCTGGCCACGACCGGGCAGAGACGGACGCACCAGCACGCCGTCGACGCGGAGGCCAACGCCACCGGCGTGGACAGCACACCGAGAAGAAGTGGACCAGCAAGGACCCGAACCTGATGCAGATGATGACGATCATGGGCAAGTTGACATTACAGAACAGCCATCGAGCCAGACTTGCGCTGGCCACGACCGTCGACACGGCCAACCTGCCGACCAGCCACTCGCTCGTGGTCGCGATCTCGGAGGACCTGGACATATTCAAGCAGCACGTCGAGAAGCTCCGCCAGGGCGACGACGGCCAGAAGGAGGAGCTCAAGACTCTAGGGTCGCCGACAGCCTCGCTCGTCCTGGCCGCCATGGAAGCGCTCCGCCTGTGCGACATCGGGGGCGCCAACAAGCGGGCCATCCAGGAGTGGCTGGATCGGACCGCGCTCGACGAGATGGACGAGAACCACATCAGCAAGACGGACATCGAGGACGCAGTGGACTTCATACGGATCGAGAAGTGCCACGACGCAGCCAGCACGAAGATCCTCTTCTCCATGAAGGCGTGGAACATGAGGAAGGTCGTGCTCAACTCCCTCCGCTGCGAGGGCAAAGCCAAGGTGCACACGGGCGTGATGCCTGCAGGCTGGCTCGAGGAGGAGCTGTCGACATGGGTCCAGGCGCTAAGCCGCTAGGACGTGCTCCTCCCGTCCTCCCGACTAGGCACGGCCCGCTCGCACGCTCTCTGTCTCAGCCAGTTAGATTTGTGCGTGCCAGTTCGCCGCCACGCGCGGCACCCGAACCTCAGCGAATTATCTTTGCAGCTCAGAACGTGTCCAAGGCTTCTGGGGACGACCGTCAGGACTCCGTAGGCGATTGTATGGGTGAATTGCCGAGTCTAGACGACGCATATGGAGCCGGCGAGGAAGCAGCCGCCTTCCTCGGACACGAAAGGGTTTAGACGCAGTGGAACTTTGCAAGGAGAGGGGCAAACATTTAGTGAACACCCCTGCCAGTCCGGGTTTAGAGTATGCACGTTCAGTTCAAACCAGCTTGCACTAGCCGCCCGACTCCCATGCCGCCTGCCATGCCGCTCGAGCTCCAGGCCGCACCAGCGCTTCGCGACACAGACGGAAGGCACAGTCCTCCCGTGCAGCGGGATTTCTTCCGAATGGCATAGTGCCATCGTTTTTGTCACAACGGATTGCAGCCCACTGCAATCGTGTTTTGTACTCATCCCTGATGCTGACGTATAAAAAATCATCATCATCATCATCATCATCATCATCATCATCATCATCATCATCATCATCATCATCCCACTCGTCGTCCTCGACCTCCAGGCTGTCCGATGTGTTGTTTCGCGCTGGCGGCAGGGGATCCGCCACCGCGCCGGCCTGCACTGAACCGGCGAGGGGGGCCCTGCCGCCGTGATCCCCCCCCCATCGGGCGCAGGCAGGCCGGGGCCGGTCCTCCTGGCCTGCGTGGGGTCTGCAGTCGGTCGCAGAACGTGGCAGCAACTCGTCGGCCCAAGCGTCGCGAGCATACGTCACGTCTTAGATCGCAGAGCCGTGCTGGACTCGCCCAGCTCCGTGCAGCAGCACCGATTGACAACCCGAGGTTCTCATGAGCCTCATTTTGTACGGCATCGCAATTTGTGATAGAATGGGACCCGCATTGTGCAGCGTTGCCTAGCGCCGAATCTGATAATGATGACGATGATGATGGTGACGACGACGACGACGACGACGACGACGACGACGACGACGGCGACGACGACGACGACGACGATGATGATGATGATGATGATGATGATGATGATGATGGTGATGACGATGCTTACGATAATGACGATGTTGATGATGATGGTGGTGATGATGATGACGATGCTGACGATAATGACGATGCTGATGATGATTAAAATGCTGATTCATGGTGATGATGCTGATGATGATGGTGATGATGATGTTGCCGATAGTGGTGCTGAAAAGGACATGACGATGATTCTGATGATGCTAGTGATGATGATGTTGATAATGATGACTGTGATGATGATGCTGAGGATGATGAGGAGGCGGAGGAGGGGAGGAGGATTGTGATGCCGACGGTGACGATGATAACGATTGTGAGTATGACGATGGTGAAGATGGTGCTGTCGATGACGACGATGATGATGATGATGAGGATGAGGATGATGATGATGATGAGGATGATGATGATGATGACGATACTGGTGACGATGATACGACGTTGATGAGGATGACAATGGCGATGATGATGATGATGATGATGATGATGATGATGGTGGTGGTGGTGGTGATGGTGATGATGATTGAGATTGTGATGGTGAGGATGACGGAGGCGATGGCATGACGATGACGATGCTGTTAATGATCCCGACAATGAGGACGATGAAGATGACGATGCCGACTATGTTGATGATGCTGGTGATGCTGATGAGGATGACGAGGATGGTGATGACGACGACGACGACGACGACGACGACGACGACGACGACGACGACGATGATGATGATGATGATGATGATGATGATGATGATGATGATGATGATGACGATGGTGTTGAGTTTGCTGATGCTGATTTTGATGGTCATGATGGTGATGATGAATCACCAGCTTCTCCCTGATCCCTCCCCCTCCTCCTCCTCCGAGAAGTTCGATTGTGGTGAGCTTGGCACAGTAGACCTTCATTTCTAGACGTGTTCGCTGAGAGCCAGTCGCTGCCGCTCGAGAGCAGGTGGACGTCAGGGAATTGGCCGCCGAGGCGCATCCAGAACCTGGCAGCATCTTGTTCGCCCGCGTGGTCGCTCGAGTCGGAGCGTCGGGCGCCCCCCGATGGGGCGCACTCCCGCCTCGGAGGTCCTCAGTGGAGACGGGGAGGTGTTGGCAGAGCCCGGCCCCGAGCAGGCCGTGCAGTTCGCGGGCCAGGCTGCCCAGCTCGGTCTCGCGGTGGACGGCAGTGCCACCAAGCCAGTGCTTCAGTGCTTCCAGAGGGCTTCGTGCGCGATTGTTTTTTGGGTTTCCGAGTCTGAGGGCAGTGGGGGGGGGACCCAAGCGATGCCCGGGGCGCCATTGCAGGGGGCGGGGGCCCCCAGGCCCCAGCAATGGCGGGGAACTTCGCCATCGCAGTTGCCAGTCAGATGGCCGACCGCCGCGCCGAGGCGCACGCTGATTGCAAAGCAGCGATCGGCCAGGCCGCCCTCCCACGGCACCTCCAGCTTCGACCGTCGAAGCGTCTGCGGGGGTGCCGGCCCCTGCTCCATCGCTGGAAAGGATGCGGCCACGCATGGAGGCCATCGTGCATGCCGAAGCGCACCGGGGCGTGGAAGCAGTAGGCCACCCTGCGTCTGAGGGGCGCCCACGCGCGCGAGGTCACCGCGCAGCCGACGCTCGCGCAAAGAGGAGGCCGTGAGGTTGCGCCCTCAGATCGGGGCGGAGGCAGCCAACCGCCTGGAGGCGGGGGCCCAGTCAGCAGCGAGTTCCGTCGGGGTTACGCGTGCGATGTTCCCGCGTGTCGAGGCGAGACCCACTCGTCGCGAGCGCCCCTTCCGCTGCCTACCGTTCGGTAAAACGCACCGCAGGCTGGCGCGAGGGGCGAGTCGGCCCCCATGACCGACCATGTGCGAGTTGTTTTTTGTTGGAGCAGGGGGGTGATGGCCGAACGTTCGGATGCCTAGGAGCACGTCCTCGTCGCCGCCCTTCCATCTGAGCTCCATTCCAGGGCTGCTGCCATACTTCGGGCCGAGAAGCCCCTGTTGCGGCTTCTGCGCGTTCGTTGCGGGCGTCGGGCCCAGAGATGCGTTCGGAAGCTCGGTCGAGCTCGTGTGAGGCCCTCGCGGAAAGGCATCGAGGTACTCCAGAAGTACCGCCGCGGAGCGGGCCCCAATAACCGAGCCAGGCAGCACGTCGAGACGCCCCTTGCCGTCAGGGACCTAGCGATCGCCTCTGCGCCGAAGCCAGTGGTGCGCACGTAAGTCCCGACTGTTGCGGCATCCAGTTCCAGTTTTGTCTGCGAGCAGCGTCTTGCTGCCGTCACAGCGAGTCCGCATCCGTGAGGAGAGGGCTCGAGAAACTTGACGGTTCTGTTCAGGGTGCTGTGGCCTGTCGTGGTGCCCCGGCGGGATGGCGCGCCCCGTCTGGGACCAGTAAAATGGTCACGGTGGTAACCGCGCCCGGTTGTTGTTTCTTGCGGGAGTTTTCCTTTTGTGGTTGTTCCACCCAGCCATCTCTTCATTCCCTTTGCCCCCTTCATCCGCTCTCCTTGTCCCTGCTCGGTTTTCCCCCCCTCCCTCCGCTCCCATCCTCCTTCCGCCGTCCTCTCCGCTCCTCCCCCCCGCGTCCCCACCCCCCCGCTTTCCGCGTTTCTTGTTTTCCCTCGTCCCCCTCCGTTTCCTTCCCCATTCCTCCTCCTCATCCTTCTCGTCCTCCTCCTCCTCCTTATCCTCCTCCCTCCTCTCCCTCCTCCTCCTCCTCCTCCCTCTCTCCTCCTCCTCCTCCTCCTCCTCCTCTCCTCCTCCTCTCCTCCTCCTCCTCCTCCTCCTCCTCCTCCTCCTCCTCCTCCTCTTCCCACCCTTCCCTCCCTCCCTCCTTCCCCCCCTCTCCTCCCCCAGGCGCCACGCCCACCCCCCCATCCCGTCCCTGCCCGTCCTCCCTTCCCCTCCTCCCCCCGATACCTCTCGCGGAGGCCGCGGGGGCCGCGGGCGCAGCCCAGCTGGCAGCCCGGAAGGGCGCGGCAGATATCAGGCGGGCATGCGACGTCGCCGGCGTGTTTTTTTTGTTTTGTGTGTGTGTGTGTGCGTGTGTGTGTGTGTGTGTGACTGTGTGTGTGTGTGTGTCCTCTTCTTCCTCCTCCTCCTCATCCGCCTCCTCCTCCTTTTCCTCTTCCTCCTTTTTCTCCTCCTCCTCCTCCTCCTCCCCCTCCTCCTCCTCCTCCTCTCCTCCTCCTCCTCCTCCTCCTCCTCCTCCTCCTCCTCCTCCTCCTCCTCCTCCTCTTCCTCCTCGTCATCTTCATCATCACCATTAGCATCATTACCCCCCTCTTTTCTAGGTGCTCGAACGGAAGGTCATAGCAGTGTGCCCCTCTTAATCGTCTCCCCTTTCCGCTGCAATTTGCTGTTCGGGGGCACGCAGTCCAGCCGGACTACATGCCCGTGCCATTATCGTGCTATACACACCGTGATATATTTCGTTTATTGCAAGCAGCACGCCTTCATCCGTCACCCTTTACTTCAAGTTGGTAGCGGAGCAGGCCCGCTCCGCGACCTTTCGCCGCCAGCCATGGCCCGCGAGGCTTCCCCACGGGCTCGCGGCGACTCTTCCCACATCGTACTCATGCTGGTCATCCACTTCGCCCCAGCAGGTGCCGTGCCTGGAAAGGCCGGCGGGGCCAATCAGGCCCAGCCGCTACCAGTGGCGCAGGGGGCCCAGCACATCTACAATTCCAAGAGTCCAAGAGCATGTGCCAGAAGGACAGCGACCCCCGCGCCTTTGCCCCTGGGCACTTTCAAGTTGTGTTTAAAATGCTCGGGGGCCCTTCGTCGTCACAGCACTCGCCTGTAAATGCCGCCGTCAACTTCAGACCGTCGAACGATCCGACTTCCACGCTCACGGCGCCGGCAATGGGCCCCGAGCTACGCGCAACTGTGTTGCAGAAGCCCGAAGGGAAAGATGACAAGGACGCATCGCCCTCATTGCATCCGCGCGTGGGCGTAGCCGACGATGTCATGAAGTCGTCCGATCCGACGCCAACGCCGTCGGCGTCGGCAGAGCGCCCCGAGTCAGCCGCAACTATCGGAGTGGGCGCGGTCGCCGCCATCAGATGCGTCGCCTGCGCGGGCGCGGGCGGCGGGGGCAGCGGCAACATGCGACGCCTCCGCGCCGGGGGGCCCGAGCAGCAAACTCGCGCGCCCTTCCAGCGATGGGCGCGGGAGACGATGATCTGGTCAGTGGCGAACTCATCCTCAGCGAATTTCGCCGATCGGCCTGCGCCTCGTCGCACTTGACCCGCATGGCTCGCGAGCGCGCGGGCGAGCGGCCGCCGGCTGCCCGCGCCCGCGCCACCTCGCGCGCAGCCGGGCCGAACGGCAGGGCCAGCTTGGAGAGGAGGGGCGCGCGCAGGCGGCAGCGGCTCTGATTGACATCGACCAACTGCTGCAGGAGCGCAGTGACAAGCACCTCACTGGGTTCGACATCTTCCGCAACAGGGCTCGGCAGGTCGGTCAATTTACAATCGGCCGCGAGGGCCCCGGCCACCTCTCGCCGCGCGCTGCGGGCGCGGCGAACGCCCAACTCACCGTGGACCTGGGGCGCCGCAGCGCGGCTTGCCCCGCGGGCGCGCCGCGGCCGGCACGCGCGACGCGCCGGCTACGCCGAGTCAATCTCGCATCGGAGGGGCATTCGCCCTGGCGCCGAGCGTTTCTCGCGGGCGCGCCCGCGCGCGACCGGGGGCAACACGCCTATGGCATTAGAGCCCGATGGGGCCGGGATGGCACGGGCCCCTCAGCTCCGGGGCAGCCCCTGCAGCCCTAGAAGCAGCCCCGTGGGTCTGCAGGCGCACCTCCCCGCGCCGCGCCACGCGGCGCACGGCCCCGCCTTTGCCGAGGAGACCAGGAGGCGATGGGGGGGGGGGGAGGTCGCGCGATCCGCGCGGGCCCCGCCATCGACGGCGCGCCCGCCTTCAGCGCCTTGCTCATGGGGCCTGGCGCGGCCGCTCTCCGAGAGCAGCACGGCGGGTCGCCTGCGGCGGTTAGCTGACCAACTGCGCACCGAGCAGATCGAGGACCTCCTCTGGCGCGACGCTCTGGACGCGAGGGCCAACCCCGCGACCGCGGGCAACGCGGGCCGGGGGCCCATCCTGAACGCGACGAGCGGCGGGATCAGCCACGACCGTGACGCGGTCAAGTTCAGCGACGAGAAGAGGAAGAAGGCCGCCCCGAGCTCCCAGCACAGCTCTCTCACCCGACAGCGAGGAAGCGACCCCTGTGACCGCGCTGCAAGGTCGACCTTCGAATCGCCATGCTCGCGGGCATCATCGGCGAGAGCTTCAGGAAGTCGAGCGCGCGAGCGAGCGCTGCTCCAGCTGACTGCGCCAGGCGAGCGGCCGCTCGCGCCCCCCTGCGCTCCGCCCATGATCTCTCGCTTGCAGCGGGCAACTTTATATGGGGAGGGCGGTCAGCAGGGCCCTCTCTGTCGCGGGTAGCCGTTAGGGGCGCGGTCAGTGGAGCACCCCAGCAGAAGTTCGCGCCGCGGTTCCTTGCGCGGTCCGCGCGCGCGAGACCAGCGAGCGCACGCTGGGCCGCTGTGAGCACCGGGTTTAAGCGGCGCTTGCTCCGCCCATTTCATCTCTTCCTTGCCCGTCTTCGCCGCTACCAATCGCGCGCCCGGTTGCAACCCGCGTTCATCGCATCTTCCTACATCTTACTGTCTAGTCTCCCCATCCTCGTCGCCCCCCCCCCCCCCCCCAGGAGCCGACGCGGCTCGCGGCGCAGAGCGAGCTCCTGCCGCGCCCGCCAGATCGCGCGCCCCATGGGTGGAGGTTGCAATCGCGATGGGCGGCGGGCCCAGGCCGGCCCGCCGCGCCGACTCTCACCCCCCCTTCGCTCGCTGACTTTCCGCGCGCAATGTTAAATGGGCATGTCGCGCGCGAATGGATCGACGCACGCGCCCGCAGTTGGCGCGCTACTTCTGAATGGAACCTGGGCGCGCGGCGCTTCGAGATGCGGAAGCGTTGCAGACGGCGCCCCCGAAGCACGCGCCCGCAGCTTGGTTTTCGCAAGTCTCGACGGGGAACTAGAAGCAGTGGGTTTGCAGTAATGCGCGACAAGACGCTCAGAGGCACCATGTGGCAGATACAGTCCCCTGCCAAGTCTCGCGGCATATCAGGAAGGATAACACCAGCGAGGTTTTCGGATCAGCGCTGCAATTTCGACGTTCCCTCCAATTTACTCGGCGCCCAAAGACGATCCAGCAGTTCTCAAGGTGGCGACGGACATGCGCATGAAGTGGTTCGCCGAGACGGGCGAAAATTTGGCCGCCAGTGCTTGGTCACCAGGGGCGGGGATCTGAATAATTTCAGGGCGCGCAGGGACTCGACGGGGCGGCGATACTAGCGAGCGGACGCCACAGTTAGTTTAAGGAACCCAGGAATGGCATCGACGCTTTCACAGCGCGCGCGCGCTCGAGGAGAACCACATGTCCATGTGCAGCAGCTTCTCGGATACAGGGTCAACCTATTTTCACGGTGCAGCAGCAGCGGCAATATCGACCGCCATGTCATTCCGGTTGAGGCCATGCAGAGAGCGCTCGAGCTACGCGCGCCCATCAGACTACGGCGTCGATTTCAGCGACGCACTGCACGAACGCACGGCGAGCCCTGATCAGCAAGCATTGCTGCGCGCTGCTGCTGAGCAAGACGCATCCGCGCGCGCGAACGCGATGGGTGGCGGGGGGATTGTCGGGCCGATCGGGGAACTTCCATGGGGCGCTCGGTGGCGGCCGCTGATTTCGCCGGCATTTTCGCTCCCAGGGCCGAGACATGGCGCGAGAAAATTTAGTCAGGAGGGGTTCAGCTACAAGCTTTCGATTGGGCGGGGCGCTTTTCCTGGGAAAACAATCGATATAGGAGTCGGCGCGCTCATCGACGATATTTTCGCGCGTTCACAGACGCCCGCGTGAGCCAGCAGCGCAGCGCATAGCAGCACCATTGAATCACGTCTCCGACTTGCTGCAAGAGCAGCCACTGCAGGCAGGATATCACTTGAGCAAGAGCAAGACAGCGCGCGCCGTCAACGCGCGGGTCTCGGGGATGTCGCGCGCGTCGCGCACCCGCGCGCACCGTCGCTGGCCATGGGCACGGTCGACCGCGAGGCCGGGCTCCGTGCGCCGATTCAATATTTCGACGGCGCGCTGCGCGCGGAGCCCGGCAGGAGAATTGCCGCCGCTCGCGCAGGATGGCGTTCGCTCGGCCGCGCGCGGTTACAGCCGCTACCACGCAGACTGAAGAGAATGCTATTCTTGCGTTCTGTCTATCACGCGGCAGTGTCTGGGCTGTCAGCTCGCGTTCTCCCTGCGGATGTCGCTGATCGCTCGGAGAGCGTCACTGTGGAACTGCTTCGAGGCCCGAATAAAAGGGAAGCCGCAGCGACGACGGAAGATGGCCGCGCTGGGGCAATCCCAGCGCGCGTCGTCCCTTCACGCGGGGACACGTCGCATCGCGCCGCCCATGGCCGTCGAGCCCCAGTTGCAGCGCGCCGGGTGGATTTGCTCCGTCGGCAGGAAATCGTCATCAATGAACGCGTTCTCGCGGGAGTCTTCGGGGCCACGAGGCGGGGCGAGCGCGTCGAGCGCCGCCGTTTAGACGGCGCGGGCGCGGTTCATGAGCGCACCGCCGCCTGCGCGAAGCAGCGGCTGGAAGATCTAAGCAAAGTCGCGCGAGCAGTGCAACAGCAACGCGAAGCTTGCTACCAGATCGAGGGCACGCGCCCCATCGTGGACTGCGCGGGCGGCCGGCGCGACGCACGCATGCTCGAGCTTCTCGCAGGTAGCACGGCAGCAGCAGCATTTATGAAGCGCGGTCTTGTCAAACCCGCATCAAGCGCACGGTTTGAGCGAGTGCGCGACGGTGACGGAGCAGCGCGGTGACGCGCTGCGCGCGACGCGGGCGAGGTGCACGCAGCAGGGCGCACGCGCACGAACGAGATGCACGATGGCACGACTTGCGGCGCCACTTCCCCCGCCGCGAAGGG